CGACTATCCTCATGATCATGATTATCATTATTATATCATGCATTTGATCGATTTGTATTTTTTTTTTTTTTGCAATTGATAAATTAATGATGATGATTAGTGATGATGGTAAAGTGAACTTTTTTTTATTTTACTTGTTACCAACCAATCAATTGGTTTGTTGAAGAGAAATTTACTGCTTGTAAGAATACTTACAGGCTTATTTTTTCTTTCTTGGAACATTATCGTCGTATTGATGATTTGCAATTTCTTTTCAGACATAAATAAATAAATAACAAGATGACAACCAAATACAAATCTAATGTTGTTCAATGTTGAAATTAATCTGATACAGGAAAAAATCAATTTCTATCATTAGGTTCGAATATTTGAACAAACATTTCAGAATTTTTTTTTTCTTTTTTGAAGTTCACTTCTTTTACCGATTAAATAATGTTGAAAAAATTCCAGATAATGAGAAAAAAAAACCAAATTTCAAAAATCTGGTTCCAAACATCAGAAGAATGTACTGTAAAATTGTGAAAATTTAACCAGAATTGACAAGAGTTCCCCCAGTTTTTTTTCTTGATCGAAAGTTTTTCTTTCTCCTTGAATGTTTGGTTTCTTTGGAACGACGATGTTCAAGTCAATCATTTTGAACTTTTTTTTGTTTGTTTGTTTGGCTTTTATTCATGAAAAATTCTTTCAAAATTACCAAGTTCTGTCGAAATTTGTTTGCCCAATAAATCAAATGATCTTTATAATCAATGAAATTTATTCCATAAAAATATTCATTCATTCATTCATTCTTTGTTGTATTTTTCTTTCACCTTTTCCTTTTTGACTTTTTTTTTCTTTCTCGTTGTCCTTTACTCTTTCACATTCATTTTTGATAAATTTTCCAATTTTTTTCTCTCCGAAATCGATAATTTGCATGTCATCCAATGTCCTTGTTGTTGATGATGATTGATTTAAAAAAAACCGGGTAAATCTTTTTTTACCCATTGTCTTTACTCTTTAAACCTTTGATTATCATCATCATCATAACCTTACCATCATGTATCACCTACCTTGATGTACCTTGAAAAAAAACTAAATAAAAAATAAAATTAGGCCTTTAATGCACCACCACCAACCATATCATCTTCTGCTGCCGTTGCTGCCGCTGCTGCTGCTGCTGCATCATATTTTGATACAGCAGCAGTACAATCTTGTGCATTACAGCAACATTTTAATCAATTAAATCAACTTAATTCACATAATCATCCTCATCCGCATCATCATCAACATCAACATCAGCATCATTATAATCATCATTCACATCATCATGGAACAACAACATCAACAACAAGACAATTATCAAATTCATCACAACAACAACAACAATCACATTTTTCATCATCACCACAACCACCAAATCAATTATCATCATCATCATCATCATCATCACCTGTTAATCATCATCAACATCAATTAATTGTTACCGGTAATGGTGGTATAAATCATCATCATCAAGGTAATATTATTGATCATCATCAATCGATATCATTATCACAACAACAACAACAACCACAAACACCATCATCATCATCTTCATCATCATCAAATGGTGGTGGTGGTGGCGGTGGTGGTAATAGTATTTTAAATCCATCACATACATTTCTCGACATATCAACTGCACAATATTCACCTGGATTTGTAAGTGATTTGATGAAATTGTATGCCAAAAAAAAAAAAACGAAATCCAAATCCAAAAAACAAACCAAACGTTGATCTTTGTTGTCCGTTTGTCCATTATTGTCATTATTATCCTTCGTCGTTCCTTTCTAATCCAACATTCATTCATTGAAATCAATCAATCAATCAATCAACTAACCATCCAAAATTCAAAAAAAACAATCATCCATCCAATGCCAACTATCTATCTATCTATCTATCTATCTATCCAAACAACCAACTCTTACTATCCATTCTTAATTGGATTATGATTATCTTATATGATTTGTCTTTTTTGTGTGTGTTTGTGTATTTGTATGAACGAGTCAAATTAGCTATCTTTTGCATAATAGGCAATTGAATGTGTTTTTGGTCAAATCTATTGTGACAAAACACGCATAGATATATGACGCCCACAGGCACACAGTGTCGAATATCGAATGAAAATTTTGAAACTTTTTTTTGTTTTGTTTATTCATTTTCATTTTTCAATATTTTTTTTGTTGTTGTTCAAATGCTAATCACAATATATTGATCAATTTCATTTCTCTCTTTCTTTTTTTTTCCAAAATTTTTTGCCATGAATTTTCATCAATCAATATACCATATATTTCAACCAACTATCCAACCAAAAATCAACCAATCGATGAAATGAAAAATCAAAAAACCTGAACCTGAACCTGAAAACCAACCAAAAAAAATACCAAAAATACTTTTTGGACCAATCAAAAAATTGCGCCATACAATCCAATTACACATTGAACAAAAACCTACAAAAATAACGTTATTTTAAAGCTCACAAAGCTTCATAGATTGGCATTGCAGCATGCTCCTCTCCTTCCTGGACAGGCCGTTGGCTCCCTCAATCCCCAAGGTATTATTTTTTCATTATTTTTTGTTTTTGTTTTTCAAAAAAAAATTTTTGCCTACGGTAGCATCGTTTTTTATCATTATATATGGCTCTATTACAATCCTAATTTTACATTATTTTTAGGTTTATTTGATTTTGATTTTTGTGTATTTTGTATTTTGTAATTTACAATTTTTTTATATTTATTTTCTCAATTTTTTTGAAAAACAAAAATTTTTGCAGCAACATTGGCCACATTGGCAGCAAACACAACCGCTTCTATGGGCCACCACGGCAATACCGCCACCACCAACAATCCAGGAATGGTCGCTACTCTCACCACCGAAATGACTATTTCCAATGATATTATTGGTTCGGTGATTGGTAAAGGTGGTTCGAAAATTAATGAAATTAGGTAATTTTTTTCATATTTGATTGATTTTTTGATTGAATAATATTTTTCTCTCTTTATTTCTTTGGACAAAATCATCAAAAACATAGACAATTATCCGGTGCAACAATTAAAATCAATAGCAGTGAAGAAGGAACAAAAGATCGTACAATAACAATAAGCGGTACACCTGAAGCAATCAATTTGGCTCAATACCTCATCGCAACAAGGTAAATTTCGTTTTACCTTTTGACCAAAAAAAAAATTAGTATCAAAAAACAAACATTTTAAACCATTTACAAAATTTTTCGTAATGAAATGAATTTTTTTTTTTTTTTTGAATTTCTTCGCCAATAATAATGAACAAAACAAAAAAAATTATAAAAGAAAAAAATTTACCACACATATCGAAACAGACACACACACACTAATTGATGAAGATTATAAATTATAATTTTTTTTTTTACAAACAAAATGTTCTGAGCATTGCGGGTTAATTTTTTTACCTATACATTTTTATTTTTATAATTTTATAATTTCGAATGTCTATTTGTTTTTTTGAAATGAAATTTTTTTTTTAATTTAAAAAGAAAAGAAAAGAATAATTATAATTTCTAATTTATCGTATCAAATCCTGGTTGTCGTTTTGTGTTTTTGCGTTTTTGTTTGTTTGTTTGTTTTTGGATTCATTTACAAATATTTCAATGGAAATGATAATGATAACTTTTGAATTTGATTTGAATGACAAAAAAAATCAATTTTTTAATTGCTGATTTTTTTCTATTTTTTTTCTTTTCTTTTTTTTCATTTTCTCTTTCTGCCCAAATAAAAAAATATCAAATTGAAAATGCCAACCGAAATTACCAACCAACCAACCAACCTGGTCTTTGTCAAAAAAAAACTTCCGTCCGCCTCCTATCTCATCCAAATAACGATAATAATAATTTGCCACGAATCCTCACCAAAATAATCAATATTGAAAAAAATCTCGCTCACCAACCTTTGCCACCAAACAAACAAACACCAACTTTTTTTTGTCCAAAAAAAATATCTTCAAAAAACTGGCCCGATTGCCTCTCTCTTCACTAAATCTCTCTCTCTTTCTCTATCTATCTATCATTCACATTCTATTTTATTCTACTCTTTTTGTCTGTTATTATCGTCCAATTAATAATCCGTTATTTACCTGTATTTTGATTTCATGTGATACACGCAAAATTGAAATTCTGGATTTGTTTCTCTCTCTCTTTGTATTTATTTATTTTCTATGTTATTTTGTTGTTGTTGTTGTTGTGGGGTTAACAAAAAATCTAATATAGTAGTAATGGTTTATTGAACAATACCGGAACATCAACAACAACAAATCATCATGCTACGGCTGCTGCTCATGCTGCAGCTGTTGCTCATGCATCAACATTATCAACAACCGGTCAAACAAATTCATTATCAGCAATGGCAGCTGTTGCTGCTGCTGTTTCAAATAATGCTAATAAATTATATACAACCGGTAATCTATCTAAACATAATATTCAATCAATAACAACTATTTCAAATGGTTCAACATCAAAATCGAATAAAAATGATCGTAAATATGCACCATATTGATTTCGACCAAAACAAATTCAAGAATAACGAAAAAAGACAAAAAACAAAATGATAAACGATGTTTTGCGATTGTATCCCTTAAACCAACCAACCAACCAACCGCATCATCTTGTGTTTTGTTTCATTTTTCTTCACACACCGTCGATCATCATCATCATCATCATCAACCGATAATAACATCAGTTTTTAATCAATTTAATCATTATTGGAAACATTTCTACTTTTACACACACAAGACATACACACACACACTAATCTTCTACATACCATTTATATTAACGAATCGTTTATTTTCTTTCGTAAAAAACAAAATACTCATCATCATTATCATTGTTTGAACTGTCAAAGCGAAAACGATCCAAAAAAAAAAATTACAGACTTTCTTTCTATCTAATTCGACGAGAATTTTAAAAAAAAAAAATATATTAATCTCGTGATAAACGTTTATCTGTAAACCATTAACCATATTATTTCCATTGTTTTTTCTTTCTCTCTATTTCGTTTACACAAATACAAACAAAATAAATAAATGTGTAAAATTGAGAAAAAGAAAGAAAAAAATTTCCTGACATCATCATTCATTAATTCATTCATTGTGCAATGAGATTATTATCGTTTATCATTATTATTATTATTGATTAACCAGAATATATATGGTTTTTAGAACATAAATAAAATTGGTTTTTTAGGTAAATATTATTATTATATTTAGAAACACATAGTATATTCAGTAGATCCATAATGGCGATTATTATCAACAAACTTTTTTTCCAAATTTCCATTTTGTTTTTTTTCACTTTTTACTTTTGCATTTAAAAAAAAATGTTTGTTTGTGAGTGATATATAGGTAGCAAACAGACAAACATTGAAAACATTAAAAATATTTTCATTCAGATTTATTTATTTCTGAGTTATTTTGATGAATTGTATTATAAGTATTTCTTCTTCTTCTTCAGCCGGAAACACTGGAAATCCAAAAAACCAAAAAAAAAAACAAACAAAGATTCTCTTTTTTATATATTTTAATCTTCTTCTTATTATTTATTTTTTCGATGGAAACAAACAAAAATATCGAGCTAATTTTCTTTCTTTTTGATTGTTCTGTATGGGAGTTTGATGATTGATTATTGATGATAATGCCAATATGTCCATTTTGTGTTATCCTTTTTTATTTTTTGCTGTCATTTTCCCTATTTCTGTATTTATCAAATTGAACAAACTCGCATACATCACATACACACTCTGCTTATATATTTGTTTGCCTGAACAAAAAACAAAACAAAAACAAAAAAATTTGTAACACCACCATCAACAAAATACATTACATTACTGAAAAGTTCAAAATATATATCCATATCTGTCCGATTTATTTTATTATTTTATATGAAAATACTAAAATGAGATGAATAAAACCAAACCAGAAACAAAATTCTGATCAACCGAATTATCCAAAAAAAAAGGAAAAAATGATAAACAAAATGATTCTTTCAACATACACACAATCACCAAAACACCTGATCATTTCACAATTGAATTTAAATTTTTTTTCAAATTGATTTATTCTGAATTCTAAAACCAAAAACAAAACAAAACAGAAAAAGTGAAATTTTCATTTTGAAAATCTCAGTTTTGATTATTCTGCTTTTCTGGGTTTTGCTGTTTCTTTTTCTCTCGTATATTTATACAAAAACCGGATATACAATATTTTATTTTACTTTTCTCAATTTGCTTCTGGCTTTATCATTATCATTTTACCATACACACAAGCAAACATACACACCAAAAAAAAAATCGGCAGACAAATCTGACCAATATTTTCGGATTTGTTTTTTTGTTCTTCATATTGTTTCTTTTTTTTCACTCCCGAGATATATTTGTTTTGGAGATTCAACACCCACACACACACACACAACTTGCAATGCAAATAATTGATTTGTGAAACAATCCTCCAGACATAATAACGTAATTCTTCAACAAAAAAAAAGAAAAAAAAAGATATTTTCTTTTCGCTTTGCTTCGGGCTTTTTTTGCCAATTTCAAACAACGTGAACAACAGCAGAGAGAATTTCTGGATTATCAAAGCAAAGCAAAAAAAAAAATACGACCAAATAATTATTTATTTAGGCAAAAAAACGAAATGATTTTTTTTACAACCTGTGCAATCTATCTATCTACGAAACAACAAAATACCAAAAAACAAAACAAAAAAGCATTTTAATTTCCGAACGGATTTTATTCGGGTTTTTTTTACAAAATAAACAATTCCAAACAAAACACAAAGAAGAAAATTATATATTTCATTATGATCAATCTCATTTCATTTCATTCATTTATTTTTAATCATCATTAAAAAACATCATCAACAACGCTTAGCCAGCGAATAACACTCAACCACACAAACATTTACTCTCTCTCTCTCATTATTATTATTTTTTTTGCGATAAAACTTTTAATCATTATCAATTTATAATCATCATCATTATTACCATTATTATTATAAATTTTCAAATTATAAAAATTAAAAAAAAAATTCAAATCGATTTCATAAAAAATTTACATTCATCAAATCAACAAACCAGAAGAGTACAACCACGAAACGCTGGCAAACAACCTGAATTCTCATCAACAAACAAAAGCAAACAAATATTGTTTTTCTCCTTTATATAAACATCATATCATTCATTGATTGTTTTTTGTTTTTGGAACAACCATCATAATCATCATACAACGTTTGTTGGAACACAAACACTGATTGATACACACACAAATAAAACGAAATTAATTTCTATAAACAAAAATCATTGATAATTGATATTTCTGATTCAGAAATGATAATAAAAATAAAAAACGTTTTTTTTTTTGTTTTGTTTTTGCATTGATTCTTTTCTAATTCGTTTTTTTTCTTGAAAAACTTTTAATTTGCGCGTATTTTTCTCTCCTGTGTGATGTTTTCAATTATGGCTTATGCCTTTCGTTCCATTCCTTCCTTATAACATCTGCCAGCAAATCAATTTTCTAATTTTCTAATTTTCAAACATTAAATTACGTTATTATCATTAATACAGAATCTATTATACAACAAAACATCAATCATCAACAATAACAAAATCAATTAATCAATCAATATTATTAGATGAAAAACAACAACAACAACAACAACAAAAAATATCATCCATATCATCATCATCATTACTAAATTCGGATAATTTTAATTATCATGGTCAAAATACATCATATCATCATCCGCATTCTTTTTATAATAATCAATGTACAAATTTACAAATTCAATTTAATAAACAACAACCATATGTTCATGGTCATTATCATTCAGCATCAACAACATTGGCAGCCAAAACGAATGGAGCATATTTTTTTACACAACAACAACAACAACAACAAAATGCTTATCCATTATATACACATTCGCATCATCATCATCATTATCCAATGAATTCATCATCATCATCATCATCATTTGATTTTAAAAAATATTCATTACAACATAACAGTATTAATAATAATCATAATAATAATATGAAAAAATTATCATCATCATCATCAACAAAATTATTATATGAAAATGAAAATGATGATAACAGTAATCATAATAATAATTTATTGATAAATTCATAATTATCGGATAAAATTACAACAAAGAATTTAATGATAATTGATCACGATATTTTTAAATTATAATTATAATTATATATCATCATCATTATTTGTTGTTTTTTTTTGTGGAAAACTTTTGACATTAATTAATCTAATTTCATTTCATTTCATCATAACCATTATCATCATTATTAAATATGCTTGAGAGTGCCAATATTTCTCTTGTTTTCTCTCTCTCTCTTTCTCTTTGAAATACATTCCAATCAATCATCATCAACATTTAAATTACAATGAAATTATAATCAATTATAAATTATAATTATAAATTATAATTAATTAATTTACAAAGAAAAAAAAATGAATATTATTATTATTAATATCAATACATTTATCAATTATTTTAAACAAATTATGTGTGTTATAATTTCTTCTTTTTTCTATTATAAAACAAAAAATATTTATTTATTTTTCATTTTTTTTGTCCAAAATAATAAACATTGTCATTTGATGTATTTTTTCTTCTTTCTTCTCGTATTCAATTTGAATAAATTTGATTTTCAAACGTTTTGATTATTGATTATTTTGAATGAAAAAAAAATCAGGAGATTTTTATCACACACACACACATATATCAGAAAAACCAATGATAATATTATCAATATTTTCTAAATGGCAATAAAATGGAATGCTATTTTGTATTTCTTGAACAAATCAAAGTTCAATCATCAGACGATTTTTGTTTCTATTTTGGATGATTTAGATCGAAATTGAAGGTTAAAAATTATTCTAATTTGTTGTTTGTTCAACGAACTAAAAAGAAAAATGTGTGAATCAATCGATAAGAATCTTACAACAATCGGTAAATATCTATTTGATAATGGTCAAATCAACGAACAATTAAGAGATGAAATTTTTCTGGTTTGTATTCAATCTTTTCCTTTGACAACAAATAATCATATAAAATATTCTATTTATAAAGATTGAAGCTAAAACTGGAAAACAATTAAAATATGGTGAACTTGAAGATAATGCACATTCATTAGCAATGGCTATGCTTACCGATTTTGAATTTAAATCCAATGATATTTGTTCAATAATGACAGAAAGTTGTTTGGAATATGCAATCATTATTAGTGCTTGTCTTTTGCTGAATGTTCCATATACATCGATAACACCTGCTTCTGGTCCATTCGGTCTCGGTGAACAATTGGATCAAACTAAAGCAAAATGTTTATTCATATCCAATGAAAATTATTCTAAATTAGAACAAGTATATCGACAATCGAATCGTCAACATCTTCGTAATCATGTTAAAATTGTTGTCATTGATGATGATGAATCAATTGATAATGAACACGGTTTGCAAAAGATTACATTTGATAAATTGATTTCAAAATTCAAAAATCAAAAAATATCATCAATACCATATTATGGTAATGATCAATCATCGATAGATGATTTGGTTACAATAATATTTACATCCGGATCTACTGGACAACCAAAAGGTGCTTGTCATACAAATCGATCAATGTTAACGAATGCAATTGAAATGAAATCCAATGAATCATTGATCAAATATTGTCATCAAACAATATTGCTTACATTTCCATTGGGTCATGTTAGTGGAAATTGTATACTATTTTTAGCACTTATTTCAAAAACACCGGTCGTATTATTGAATTATAGCGATATTGAACAGATATTTAATGTGATTGAAAAATATCAATGTGTTCAGATATTTGGTTCGGCTAATATTGTCAATATATTGGCCAAAAATGATTTGACAAATAGTTCAAATATATCATCTGTAAAGATGGTGCTAACAGCTGGATGTAAATTACCAACAAGTACGGCAGAAATTTTAACAAAAAATCATGGAATTGAAATTTTAGATGGTAAGATAATGGTGTTTATGAAATCAAATCTTTGATAAATTAGTTGATTAATTTGATTAGCATATGGATGTACTGAATGCCTTTTTGTATCAATCGGTATCAAAAGTAATAATGTAGGCAAACCGTTACCTTCTTTTGAATTGAAATTGATCGATATTGTGACGAAAAATGAATTGGCAAAAAATTCATCTGAACAAACAGGTGAAATATGTTTACGTGGTCCTTGTCGTTTTCGTGAATATTATGGTAAACCAGATGAAACAAAAATGGCAATCGATAATGATGGCTGGTTTCATACGGGCGATGTTGGTTTTATTGACAATGATGGTTGTCTTCATATTACTGATCGAATTAAAGAAATGATTAAATATAAAAGTTGGTCAGTATTTCCAGCCGAAATTGAATCATTTTTTATGCAACATAATGATGTTACCGGTGTTGTTGTTGTCGGTGTTAAACACAAAGAATACTATGAAGTTCCAAGAGCATATATTAGTGTAAAATCCGAATCATCGATTACAGTTGAACAATTACAACAATATGCTAATGGTAAATATTCAAATTACAAAAAAAAAATTAAACCCAAATTATAATAATAAAAAAATATAAATTTTTTTCTTACATAACAACAGATAATCTTGGTTATCAAAAACAATTACTTGGTGGTATTATAATTTTAGATCGATTAAATTATAATCAAATGGGTAAAATTGATCGACGTTTTTATAAAGATTTATGTTCGAATGAAATTCTTGATATTGTTGGTTGAACAAACATAAAAATCGAACGTCAAAAAATTATGGAATTCGAATTCGAATGCAACGACATCTATGATTGAAATATTCGATTCCTAAAAATATCAAGAATCCTGAACAACAGATGGTGCTGTTTATGTTTCAATTTTTTTTAAACGATTCAAATTCAAATCTTTTGATCAGAAAAATGATTTTTAAAAATGTTTTTTTTTTCACAATAAAATCACATTGATAGATAGATACAATTTGCAAAACCAAAATCAAAAAACATTTTTCGCATTTGATCACAAAAACCAAACAGAAAAAGAAAAAAAAAATGATTTTCAAACCGGTGTTAATTTTTCTAATACCGTTGTTCGTAATAATTTCAACAAATGAATTTAATTATTGTCCAACATCGGATTTTGATGCATCGGTTGCAATCAATGAATGTTATGCATTATTATTTAATACAAAATATATGTGGCTATTAGATATTTGTAATTTTCATTTAACCGCTGTTTATAATTTTGAATTTGAATTGATTAAATGTCTTCATGATGGCCATATTTTTCCTGTTAATAATAGCCAACAGCAACAAAAACATTACGAATATGAACAACAACAACAACAACGGCCACAATTATTTGCTTGGAATCGTTTCCGAAAAATGCAATCATTAATAATGTCATATAATAATTATCCAAATTCAAATTATATATGCATTGAATTGGTAATATTTTTTTGTAATGTTTTTTCCTTTATTTTCTGTCTCGAAATTGAGCGAAAATGAAAATCTGTTTTGATTTCATTTGCCTTGTAGGATGATGTTCAATCCATATTAGATGTTCAGATACAGTGTGTTACTGTGTGGATAAATAATTGAATAATGTCTAGAACAAAAAAAAAAAATATTTAGATAGAATTCTTCTTCGTTTTAGTGTGGGTTATTCAATAATAATGTAGTATAGTGAAAAGCGAAACAGAAATGTATTTTATTTCATATTTTGTTAAACAAGGAACAAAAATTTATTCAACTTGTCAAAAAATTATTGAATCACATTTCACATTCACCCTATATTCTTTTTTTTCCATTGATGTTTTTGATATTAATTCTTTTCTCTTTTCGTTTTTTTTGCTTTTTTGGCTGTCTCCATTGACTAAAAGAATAATAAAATTTGTTATTTTCCAATCATAATAACTGAACAATATCCAAATAATGATTATTTAAATACAATCGGAAATATAAATTCAATCGAAGATGAAATTTATAGAAATTCATGTCAATCAGATGTTATTGTCGATGTCGATGATATTGATTTTGATGGAAGCAGCCAAACACCAACAATAATAGAAATGGCACACATGTATTATCATGTTAGTTCACCAAAAGGATCAAAAATATATCGATTACATGGTAGGAATTTTTATGCTGATATTATTTGGACACCATCATCATATGATTTGAATCGTTTAATTTTTTCAATAAAATTATTTAAATTGATGACCGATCATCATCAACATCATCAATATCAACATAATAACCGTCCGGAAATGATTGTTGATGATTTGTCGATTGACAATCGACAAAACGAAGAACCATCATCATCATCAAATACGGACAGGCCTGATTATGATCCAGAATATATATTATTAGAAAATGTTAGCACATTTTTAATAATGCCAACCGATATTGAAGTAATGATTTTTTTTAATACAAATGAATTTTGTATTATAAATTATTTTACTAAAAACGTAAGGCCTTTTTTTTAAATCCTTTTTGAGAAACAATTTAGGGTATTTTTTATTAGCCTATTTTTTTATTTTTTATTTTCGTTTTCAAATGTTCATTTTGACCTAAATAGTGTGGCCGTAGATCGACTAGAGATTTATTCGGTTGTGATGATGATACTGATGATGATGCTTATACAGATAATAATATTGGCATTAAAAGCAATCGACCACATAATATAACTGTTGTCAACATTGAAACAAACGATCGATCGTTTAATGAACCGTCAAATAATGATACTGATAATACTGAATCTTCGAATGATATTGTCGTCGAATCGACAACTACGGCAACATTACCGAAAAGTATTTCAATAAAAGTAAAAAATATTTCAACTACAAAACCCATTATTATTAATAGTAGTAATGATAGTAGCAGTATTTCTACATCAACAACAACAACAACAATGATGCCAATTTTTTCAACCAAAAATGATGATAATAGTAATCATCAAACAACTAATTTATCTGATACAACAACAACTGTACAGCCGTCAATAATGAATGACAATTTCACAAGAATTATTACTGTAGAATCTCATGAAAAACGAAACAAACAACAACAAAAAGATGAACAAATTATCAATACAACATCATCATTACTTTGTCACACAAACACGACAATTGTTAATAGCGAAAATGTTAGTGAGAAAACCACCGAAAACAGCAATCTAAATAACATGGCAACTGTAACCTTTAATTATGTGGATACCACAGCAATAACAAATTCTAATCATTCGTTTTCAAAGAAGAAAAAACCAAATGATGACAATGATGATGAGAAATATTTCGGCAAAGAAATAAAATGCGATATTGATTGCGTCATTTTAAAACGAAATGAATTTAAAATTTATGAAAAACAAAATAAACGTGGTACATTATCCAATGATAATTACACATATCCATCATATGATTATAATTTTAAAAATATTTTGGCCATTATTTTTCGAATGGATATAATTCATGGACATTTTCTTAAAAATGGTTTATCTATTATTGGCCGTATTATTTTTAGAGGTTAGTATTATGGATATTTTATTTTTCATTTTGTGGTTCGGAAAATTCATTCGTTTTTTTTTCTCACCTTTATAAATTTTAGCCATAAAATTCTGTACAATAATATCATTGATAATCTGTTCGATAATGATATTGATTATATTCATCATACATCATTTGGGTTTGAAAAATTTTCGTGCCGATATTTTTCTTTATATAATGTTATCATTTTTTACACAAAAACTTAAACAAACATGAAAACAAAACATTTTATTGGTGCTTTGCTTCTTTCAAAAATTTATTTGCACTTAAAATTCCGGTTACTGGTGTCGCGGATGTTTTTTTATTATTATTTGTATGAATTCCATCACTATTATTATACCCGAAATAATCTTACAAGTGAATGATTCTTTTCAACAAACAACAACAGCAACCAAAGAAAATCATTACATACACTTACAACAGAAAAACAAAAAAACGACGGGTATCATCCAAAATTAAAACAACAACAACAACAATTCATTCATGTGTAATTTTCTTCAGCAACAAAAAAACAATTTTTGTTAATTTTTACTCGTATTTTGTTGTTGTTTTATCACACTTTTTTGTTGTTAATTTTTTCTTTTTAAATCTTTTAGAAAAATGTTTAATCACTTGAAACAATAAATAAATGAAAAAGAGAAGAGAAAACATTGTTATAATTTGATATAATCATTATGCGAATGACAGGCTAATGAATTTAATTTGATTCTTTTTTTTTTGTTTGTTTTGGATTACAATGTTTCTCTTTGTCTTTCTCTCTGTGTGTGTGTTCAGTCAATTCATCTTAATTAAATAAAAGAATGAATGAATGTCATGTTATCATCGCTAGCCTTATTGGTCAGTTATAATTGTTGTCTGTATGTTTTATCATTAACAGAAATGAAAACAAAAACAGAAAAATCAATGATGAATATCCGAATGATTATGACAAGTATATTTATTGATTTTTGGATGCCTAAATATCATTATTATTAGGCATATATATCAATGATAATTATTGGGAATATTTTGAAGCAATTCACAGTGTGCTTTGATGACCATCTGGCTTGTGAATAATCATCAATTTTTGTTCGATAGACTTTTCGATTGATTGATTAATTGATTTGCTGACCTTTCTATCATTAGCATTAACATCATAAACAACAACAGTATTCGGATATCATTTAACAACATCGATTCTCAAAAAACAAAGAGAGAGGCTATTTTTTTCCCCAGATCAAAATTGAAAATGTAACGAATAGCAAAACAAAACAAAACAAAACAAAACAAACATTTATTTCATAAATCACGATGAGAAATAAAATGGAAAATAAAACAAAACAAATGTTTTCTGTAAAACGAAAGAAATCACCCAAAACCAGAAAAAGATTGACTCCAAAATCATCAATTTTTTTCGTAAATAAAGTGAACACAAAATGATCATCGGCTGCTTCGAAAAATGATGATGATGATAATCCAGTTGTGTGCAAACGAAATAAGAAAATATGGTGGTTGTATTGTCTCTGTGTGTGAACAACCAATAAAATGTATTAGTTGACAAACAAACAAACAAACAAATCGAATTCTCCAAATTCT